CTGCGACAGGGCGACCTTGAAGAAGTTAAAACTTAAAACATGATGGATGGAACACACACACACACACACACACACACACACACACACGATCCTTAGAAAAAAAAAAAAATCACAGTCAAGTTTTTTTATAAGGTTTTGATAACTTCCTGTTGCAGGGTTTAACATGTTCATGTTGTGTTAACAGCTTAGTCGTTTTAAGAAAGAGATAATTGTGAATCAGAATGAATTCGTCCCACAGAGGGGAAATGTGCATTTGTTACAGCAAGTAAAGAGCTAAAGACAGCTTTATCAATCAAGAAACGTACAAAAATGGGCATTGAGCCATATGTTGTGTTTTAGTCCTGGATCAGTTTCCTTTTCATTATTTAACACATCATGTGTTTTTCTACGAGTCTGACAGGATCAAGGTGTAAATATCCTCTCAGATCTAAAGCACACTCACTGTATTTCTCTCTGATCGGTGGTCAGCTAACACATCGCAGAAAATTACACATTGATTTCATCTTCAGCTGCTTTTACAATAAGTGCGTTCGACCAACAAAGTACAAACTTGAAGAAAACAGAATCATATAAGTTCATCAGGTTTCATAGAGCCAAACATTTCAAGTGCTCATTATAAAGGACACAAGCAACCTCCTCTCAAAGTATTTTATATAAAATAATCCTGAGCATCCATCACAGCGAGTGTTAATCCTCTGAGTTAAAGTTAAACGTCCTGAAGACTAATGAACGAGCAGCGGAGGAATTAATCTCCTCCGTCAGTGAAATCATTATCCAGCTCAAATTAAATCACATTTTTAACTTTAAGAAGAGTTAGCAGGCAGGGAGAAAAAAGTGTCTGACAATTTTAACAAGGAGAAATGTTTAATGAAATTATGAAGAACCGCAGGTATAATGAAGTAAATCAACTCACCTTCAAAATAAAGTCAACTGAAGAAAGGAACTCATTTATTAACCTGCTAACAGAGCAACCCAGTCTCACGGCATTTCGTGTTATAGTCTCGACATGTAATCTATTGATTCGTGTTCACCAACACCATTTCCCCTTTTTTATCGTGTCACACAGAACGATTTAAAAAGCAATGTATTTCTATTGGTAGTATGTTTCGTGGCTGCACCA